AAGGTCTTCCCCACTCGGACTCCTACCCCAGTGCGAGCGAGCTTGATTTGTTGCAATACTTCGAAAAACCTTGACAATTAGGTGATTTGTTTCCTCGTTACTTCGTATTTAAGAGAAAACGACCTCATTTTAATTTCGTTACAAGTAAGATTAGTTTGAAAATTTTCATCATTAAAAACTGAAATACAGTTGATATTCATGTTTTTTTATCCTTTACATTTTGGGTTTAGTTTATTTTTTATTTTATTTTTATTCAAATTAAGGACATTAAATATTTTTTTCAATTAAAAAAATAACTTTTCACATATAAACGCTTACCTGTATGTACTTTTGAAAAAAAAAAAAAAGAAAAAGAAAAGAAAAGGGGTGTAAATAGAGATGTCGAGTCCAAACGATGAATCCTAATTTTGAAACAAGTCCACTGGATGAGGACCATTTGCACAGCAATACATAACACGAATCATTCTTCTAGTTAAAAAGATAAATAAATAAAACTTGAGCACAGGTCATTGATCTAGTAAGACTTCGCTTTACAGTTGAGTTAAGCCTTGATCTACTTTATGGGTCTTTTTAAAAAAAAATTTAATTACAATTTGGCTTGTCTAAATAGATTTTTAGCTTGAAATTTTTTTATTGAAAATCACTCAACTCATAGGGTATCTTAATCTAGTTGGTCTCAATCTAATCACTGAAATTATATTTCTGTTTCAATTTGAACCATTTTACCTGTCATGGTCATCAAAATTAATAGAATTTATGGTGTGATTTGTAGTTCAATTGTGCTATATGTACACCGACGCATACGCTCCTCACATAAGGGGGCCCAAACTTTTTTTATTGAGCGTGGACTCCTCCTTCATGTAAGGGGCGTGTGGTCAATGTCAGTGTACAAATAACAAAATTATTTATAGTTTTAGCAACGCAATTTTTTAACTAAAAAAACATTGTTGCCCAATCGTCCAATTTTGTTTTAAAAGGTTAAGTACAAGCAGGGACTAACCCACATGCGGTCATGTGGGGTCAAATGACCCCACAAATTTATTTATTTATTTATTTATTTTCTAGAAAATTGTTGTTTTAATCCGTTTTCAACCCACTTTAATACATATTAAATGAAATCAAAATATTGCATTCCTATTATCATTTCTAAACGCTCACGGCCTAGTTTTTCGCTTCTTAATGGTGGACGAAATGATCAACCATAGCAAAAGTTACGATATACCAAAGTATGCCATTCCAAATTAGTACTTTGAAAATTTCGATAATATGCTAACTTTTAAAATTTGCCGATGATCATGCAGGGGCAGACCCACATAGGTCATATGGGGTCTCAAATGACCCCACAAATTTTTTTTCCAGAAAATGGTTGTTTTCAACCCACTTTAATACATATCAAATGAAATGAAAATATTGCATTCCTAATATCATTTTTAAACGCTCATGACCTAGTTTTTCTCTTCTTAATGGTGTATGAAATAATCAATCATAGTAAAAGTTACGTTGTATCAAAGTAGGTCGTTCCAAATTAATACTTTGAAAATTTCGATAATATGCTCACTTTTAAAATTTTTCGATGTTCATATACTATCCAGATCTACAAATCGCTTGCATCATCTAGAAGTTCATTACGAAAACTACATCGTAGTCATATCGAATGGTCCAAACAGATATCGAAAATAGTTAAATAGGCAATCAAACGTATGTATTAAAAGAGGCGTTTAACTCGTCTTTAAAAAAAAAAACCAATTATTTCATTAATGTTTATTATTTTTTCACGATAAATTTTTCAATATAATTTATATCATTTTATTAGGAAATTTTACATTAAAAATAATGTCAAAAATTCTAAAATCGTTACGGATTAAATGTAATTTGAATTACTTTCAAATTATTTTTTCTTTAAACTTAAATTTCATTTACTTTCTACATCCAATTTGATTTACTCATCGTTAGCTCAACATCCATAAATAACATAGTAAACAAAACTATATATGTAGCAAAATTCACTTAAAAATATTGATAATGATAGAATTATAAGACACTTTCAAAATGTCAAAATGTGTATTAACTTATTTTTATAAATATTATATTATTTTAAAAAATTACACAATAATTTTTGGAACTAAGCACAACCCGCGAGGATGACATCGCAAGTACCGCGCCCTCACATGCCCGACGAGGTTCCCATGAATAAAATAATCTTGACTCCGTGTGTGTGTTGTGTCAACCCTGTGGTCATTCATGTGGGTATTGTAGCACGACTTTAATTTTTGACCCCACAACCCAAAACGGCTGAGTCCGCCCCTGAGTACAAGTGAATTATTTCTAGTAAAGTCATGTATTCATTGAGTTCTGATTACGAGCACATACACAATCATTAAATTGAATAAAAATATAAGTTGAAACAAATTAAAATTGAATGACTAACACGAAACAAAACTTGAAAGTTTAGTGACCGCAATTGAATTTTTTCCAATTTTTGGCTCGCGCTATTTTGTCCACAATATGGGTCGTGGGGTGCGTTGACACGCCATTCTTGAGGAGATTTTTTTATTTGGCCTATCACTATTCCTTTTTGTCGAAAGATCTATATTACCCTTAATGAAATGATTCTTTCTATATTGCAACATATATTCTAATCTTTTAAATATTTCATCTTCTACTTTGAATATTTGAATATAAAATCCATTCTATGATCTAATAAATAAAAATAATCTGCAACATATATTTCATATTTTCTAATTAAAATACTATATTTTTCAAATGGTAAATTTCTATTTTCTAATTGAGAGATAATATTCTTTATTTTTTCTAACATTTTCTCTAATAGATTATCTAATCCTTTAATTGTATTTCCTGGCATTTATTCATAATCATCAATTAATCCTTATGATCTTAAAAAGATTCATTCTAATTTTAGCAAAAGTTTAATAGTTTTACCTTACGTTGGATCTGGACTTTTATTCGTTGAACCGTGTGACTTTCGAGCTCTGAATCTGTAAACTGCTTTCTTCAACGGCCTTCTGCCTTCATGTAATTGTTACTATTTCAGCTACTTGCTCTCACTGTATCAACTTCTAAAGAATAAAATTCTAAACTTTTGTTAAAGAAAAATTTTCTTTTTGCTAAAATAAGAAGGAAACTTTCTATCAGATCTTTTAAAAATCTATGGGAATAAAAATTTAGAAACTCATATTCATATCAAAATATTGAAGTTTTATTTCTATCAGAATTTATACAAGACTTCTATTTAATATAAAGGGGTTTTCAGAAAAAAACTGATTTTTCAAACTAGGAATGGTTTTTTGAGTAGCTATTGCTTACAACTCGAGATGTCAAGGTAAGATGATTTTTCTCTATAGCAATGTCTCTATTTATACAAGTTTATGAAACTCTATTACATCATTGAGTACATCAGCAAGGCACATTTGCCTTTCTATTTTTCCTCCTTGGGCCTACATGTTGCTTCAACTTTTTATCCAAAGAGCATCTTTTTATATTATTACTCTTTATCTATAATGTCTTCACATGCAGCTGTACATCTTTGTCAAATGTGCTCTATTATTGTCCTCTTCCTTTATTTTTTCACATGCAGGTGGGGCACTCCGTTAACTGGCAAGATTCTTTTATAATGGTAGGACATCCTAGAAATTGATGTATATCAAATCTTGTATTATAGTTTTTTAAAATTTCTGATTTTCCATATCCTCCATTGGATACCAACATCCAATTTTCATATTGGCACAAGTACGAGAATTTTTTATCAAACAAATTTTTGGCAATGTTGTAGATGACTTTAATTCCAAGTGTTCTTTTATGTCTGATCCATGATTTTGTCACTGTTGGAACTTTTCTATTATTTTATGTAACATCTATTTGAAAATTGGTTGCAACATATCCAATTGAGATTATGTGTTCGATTGGATAGTAAACAACTCCGTTATATTTTGGACTGATTGAATAGAATTTCAAATATATTTTTCTTCCCTTAGCAAATCTGGATACTTCTTTAATAAATATGTCATCAAACTTTGAAATTTCAATAATATCTTTTCCTTGATAAATCAAATCCATGAATCCATAGTCTGTCATAATTTTTATAAATGAAGGGTCTCTACCTTCCATGGTTATTATTATAGGATAAACATTATTTCCCAGAGAAATGAAATATAAATCACTCATTTTTATTTTGTAAGCAATTTTGACTATTTCGGCATATTTTTCTTCTTTTGGATCTAAATGGATTTTATCTTCTTGGTCTATGATGCTAATTATTTTGGTATCTCCTTTATCTCCATGTATCATAACTTTCTTGGTTGATGATACAGAAATAGAATCTCCTTTATTATCAGTTGGTATGTTGTCACGTCTGGATCCACTGCTGTTTCCAGCTGTCCCTATTTGGTATTGATTTGAAAAACTCATTTCTGAGCTTTTTGGTATATCTGTC